TTTTTTTTTTGGTTATTATTTTCAGCTGCCATTCAGGCCCTCAAACGAAAGAAGCGATATGAGAAACAATTGCAGCAAATCGATGGCACATTGTCAACGATTGAGATGCAAAGAGAGGCCCTAGAGAGTGCAAATACTAACACAACTGTTTTGCAAACTATGAAGAATGCAGCTGATGCCCTCAAGGCTGCTCACCTACACATGTGAGTCATGAGTGCCTAAAAAATATTGTTTATGCCGCATTCCAACAGATTTCCCAAAAATTTAGTTGCGGATGCACGAGAAATTCATTGGGTGTGGAGTTTTGTTTGAGAGAATTGATTTTTTTTCAGGGATGTCGATCAGGTACACGATATGATGGACGACATTGCAGAACAGCAAGACGTCGCCAAAGAAATATCCGACGCGATATCAAATCCAGTTGCCTTTGGCCATGACGTCGACGAGGATGAGCTCGAGAAGGAGCTCGAGGAATTGGAGCAGGAGGCACTCGACGAGGAATTACTTGGGGTTGAGGGAACTGCTGAACTCCCAGCTGTACCTGCATCAACAGAACCTGTTGCACCACCTAAAAAGACAAGTGTGTGCAATCACGTCGGAAAATTTAACTCATCATTTATGATCATTTAACTGATCATTTTTTCGTATTTCAGAAGCAAAAGCAGTGGAGGAGGACGACGACCTTAAGCAGCTAGAGGCGTGGGCTTCGTAAGCCTGAGATAAATCTCGAAATCCGGAATTTGTCAACTGCTTGAACAATTGAACACACGTGTACCAAAGCTTTCAGCTTCTAGAGAACATCGAGAAAAATGTTTGAAACTCCTTATTCAGAAATTGGGTATTAATTTTAATCGAGGAAATTCGGTCTGTTGCGTTCAAAGCGTCGGATTACTTCAGTGAATTATCATTAAGTTTAGTGCTCTCACCTGGTCTAATTAACTAATGAAAGCTCCGTAAAACAAATAGAAATATTATCCTGATTTTCATGTTTTTATGTCTAAGTAAACAGAAATAAACATCTATTGGATACGATTTCTGACGAAATTAACGTGACGACGGGATAAAAAAAAATCTTTGTATTTCCACTCAATCCAAAATTAACGACATATATTCCTGCAAATGCAGAAGGTGAGTATCAAAACTTATTCTATCAAAAAATTCCTCAATGCTTTCATTTCCCATACACTGATCCAATTCCCCACGACAAAAAGTCCCTTGTAAATCGTTTCCAAAAGAATCCTCACTGTTCTCCGAT